TAAGTAGAATTGAATCAGCAATAAATCAATTAATAAGTAATTGGTATAATCCTTTCTGCTTGCTTCTTATATAATCTTATAAATGTTAAAGTTATGACATTTGTAAGATAGTTTAAATTTTTTAAAAATTAATTTTTATTTATTTATAGTACAGTATAATAAAAAAATTAAATTTACATATTTTAGCTTTTTTTTCTACTTTTGTATTTTCAGTAATTTAATGTAATTAAAAAAGGTATAAGATAAGATTACTTGTTTAATTTTCACTTAAATAGAATCATCTACACATCTTTTCATCTTTTATTTTTATAATACAGTTTTTTTCATTATCAAGTAGTATAGGATTTACACCATTTCTATACTCAACTTTAAAATTATTAGTTTTTCAAGAATTCTTACTTTTTAATTTTTTAAAGTTTATTTGTTAAAAGTTGACACTGGTCGAAAATCAAAAAAATCGAACATATAACAAATCAACTAATCCAATCCAAATTTAGATATCATCAAGAATTAAACCTATCTGATTTATAGCTAATTTTGCTCAACGAACGCGTTTGCAATTTACACATTTACGTGATACTTTCAAAAATATATATATATGCAACTGTGGAACACGCAGAAATTACATATACTAAAAACTTTATTTAAATAAACCAAACATTTAGCATTTACCTACCAACAATACAATATTTCGTAATATAATTTTTATAGACTAAATCATTAAGGTTGAAAAGTTTTTAAATAACTATAAATAAATGATTTCAAAATTTTCATGAGAGAAAGATAAAGGATAAGAAAAAAAAAAAAAACCTCAATGATTCGCTGATTAAATTATCTTCATCAACCGAACCGATCTAAATTATATAATTGTAATATTATTTGATGTGATATAAAAATTTTCAAGTATACAAAATATTATTCAAATTTACTTTTTTTGAAATTTTAATTTTGTGTTTCAGGAAGTCGCTCGAAATTCAAAATCCTGCTTGTATAAACAGCTTGAGGATGTATGGTTTTGGTTATCTTTGTATTTGATTTTAAGGATCTATTAAAATCATCGACTTCTTTAAATTGCTTATCAAATTCGGTGTTTTTATTATTCACAACTTCATCAAACCAATTGGATAAAATGTTACATAATTCAAAAGCTGTCGGTCGTTTTAATGGATCCGCATCTAAACACTGATCGATTAAGTTTTCTAGCTTAATTGGTACTTTGATATGATTAAATTTCGGTCGAAGTCCTTGACATATTCTCGAAGCCAACAATTCATCATGAGCTATATCATGATACGGTGGTAATTCGGAGATCGTTTCATGTGCGATCATTCCAAAAGAGTAAATATCAGCCGCTTGAGTATATGTTCTTCCTTTTAAAACCTCCGGTGCGATATAAGGTAAGACTCCACAAAGTTTTATTTCATTATTATCATCATTTCGTTCGATGACTGATCGACATAACCTCAGATCAGTGATTCGACATATTTGATTACCAAACATTAAGATATTACCGGAATGAAGATTCCTATGAATGAATCCTTTATTATGAATTTTACGCAACCCACATGATATGCAAAGTAATAAATGCAATTTATTTGTAAAACTTGATTTATTATGATTATTTTGGAAGTATTGTCTCATATTCCCATCGTTAAAAGATTCCATCACCATCAAATATTGTTTGGTAACCGGATCCTGAGAAACTCCATAACATTTGGTAATATATTCTTTCATTATTTTATATAAAATAATCTATAAAAAAAAAAAAATCAAAGTTGCCATGAGTAAATTCGATTCATTCAATTGAATAAAATATTCATGTATGTATATTACCTCTTGTAAAAATTCCTCGCTGATATTTTGGGAATTATTTAAATGTTTTAAGACGACATCCACTTTGACATCGATGTTCTTGACGTTCCAATTATCAAAACTAGGGCCTCCGATCCATTTAGCCTTATACATGGTGCTAAATTCACCCGCCGCAAGATATTCAATATCCGTAAGATTTTCATAAGGTATCCAGTCTAAAACTCCATAATGACTATTTGCGCTTAATTGCGTATTTTGTATCAATTCATCAACATCTTTATTGCCACTGGTCCATTTATCAAAATCTTGTCGATACCTTTTCGAATTACAAGTATGACACCAAGATACAATCATAACACCACCATTAGTGTAAGGTTGACCGCATATTTCACATAATCCATAATACATGTATCGTTCTCTCAACTTTTCATCAGGTATTAATTTATTAATCAATGAATTTTGTTCTGCGGTTAATTGATACCGATCAAAATCTTTTATTTGATTAATCACGTCTTCGCTAAGTTCATTAACCATATTTAAATACATAAACGTCACACGAGTTGAGTTTTTACAAGTGATAAAAATAAAAATGTTTGAAAAAAATATTGTGATTATTTATTTATATATTAAATGAATATTGCTCATGATGATGCAATTATTTGTTGCACACGATACAAAATCAAACCATTTCATTGTGATTACCTAAGTTTTTAATTAGCCGATTTTAGGTTAGACGATTAAATTTACCTGAAAGAAGCGCAGAACTATGGCGTAGCAAAGTGTCCATTCGAAGCAATTGTAGGAAAATTAAGATAATCTCATTATAAAGATTAAATTATTATGAAATAAAAATTACGTTATCGTTGGAGTAAAAAAAAAAACCATTAGAATTAAATTCATTTTATATGTCAAATATAAATATAATGTTTAGTATTAAATTATTTTTTATTTTTTTTTCTCCGGCAGTTTTATTACAAGCAAACTTTACACGTCGTTTAAGCGAAGCTTCTATCGCAAAAGGTATATCACATTAAGGAACAGCCTATTTCCCGAACTTTGTTGTGGTTATTCCATAAAATATATAAATTAATAACTTTTCAAATGAATCTGCTGATTCTCTGGGGCAATCTAAAAAAACCATTTTGGAACCCTTCAAAACTGATTGGCTTGCGAATTTATGAACCAAATGGGCAGAAAAGGAAAACTACAAAAAAAAAAAAATAATTTTTACTTTATATGCTAAATATGATTTTTTTTAGTAAAAATTTAACATTAACTCAACGAATTTTTTTTTGAAGATTCTCCTCCTTTCTATTGAAAAGTGCCAAAATATTGAAGGTCCAGATTGGTCATGCATTCAAACGGCGGTCGGTTTCTCTGATTCCCAACATTGAAATCAAAGCCAACCTGCGCCTCCGTTTTGATGAGATTCCCGCTACAACTTTTTCCCCTGCATAAAGGAGTTGAGTCATTGGGATCAATTTTCATTAGCTTTTCGTTGTTTTCTATAATGCGAGTTTTGAGTTGGTTGTTTATTCAAAAGCGATGAAAGATGGAAAAATCCAATAAATACATAAATATGATACATTTTAGATTAGGAAATATTGAAACTTTATATTTAATTTGACAAAAGACATGAAATTATAACTGTTCCCAACAATTTTATAAATTTCTGATTTCACTCAATAATAAAGACGTAAGATTTTTATTATTTTACCATTAAAACATAGTAAAAGAAAAAGCCAGTAAAAAAAAAAACTTTTTCTAGAGTTGGCAATTGTATTTATTGGGACCTTAATGTCCGTTAGTACATTCCTAAGTTCCAATCGTTTTTGTGCAATATCATTTACATTAAAGAATAAGTGTATCACTTAACAAATATGATGGCTTAATCAATATAGACTTTAAATTGACGAAGCTTTGTTATTGTTTGGGATGAAATCAGGCTGAGAGAATTTAACAAATTGAGATTTTATTGCATTTTTTAGTTTTGAGGTTATGATTGCTAGGAAAATCAAAAACTTTTTTTCTTACATAAAAAAAAAACCGGAACATGGGTAAAACACAATAGCAGGGACTCTCGTTTATAGTGAGACAAATCAGATGAATTTGTTTCACCTAGTTTTGAGTGTCAATATTTTATAACCATATTGTTTAAAATATTCACCCACTCAATTTTCCCACAAGATCCTTTCGTGAGGATTTACTAGTACATCCAAGAAAACTTTAGCTCAATTAAATTAAGTTTTAATTATAAAAAATAAAAAAATAAAATAGGATATAATAATATCTTTACATGAAGGAATTATTCAAAGTTGTTGAATGAAGAACGTGAGTGTGCAATCGATGATAAAAAAAATAAAAATAAATTTCTGTTTAAATTATAATAATAGTAAAGATATAGTGTTTTTCATTTATTAAAGCTAATTTACACTGAAGAAAAAAACAAAAATGACGAAGAAAAAAGGGGTTATGAAATTGTTTTGTGAATAAATTTTTTTTTTTTTTTTATTTATTTTGGGGATATATTAAATTAAAATTTTTATAAAATTTTAACTGCATCCTTCAATATTTAAAATTAATTATATTGAAATAATATGTAAAGTTATAATGCCCAATTAAGTTTATATTGTTTATATTTCTATAAAAAGTAAAGATTTTAATACATTTCCGTACCGAAGGGAGCCGAGCCATTAAATTAATCAGAATCCTTTCTTTTTTTCGACCTCCGACGAGGGTCTTCTTTCCAAGATGTACAGACAGCCGTGATAAGATAAATTTATTGAATACAAGTAAAGTACCTTTGCACGTTCTTCCTTATTTGTTTGTATCAATGCATATGACAAATGTCACTCACGTCTTCTGTTAGAGATCATCATTTTGGTAATACATGGGAAGATTGCCAGAATTAAGATCTTATTGCATAAAAATTTCCTCGGGCCTGATATTGTAGTGTGAAAATTTTGTAAAGAAGGAAGAAGGAATGTGAGAGAAATGGCGTAAAGTATGAAATCAGATGCACGCTACGCATTTGCAAATCAACCAGTACTAATTCAAAAACGCCAACATAATCATTTAAAAAATGATTAATTTAATTTTTCATTATAATATAAAAAATTCCATTTACTCAATCGTTAACAAATATTAATTAAACTCAAAAAATATACTAATCAAAAATATGTAATTATACTTAAAAAAAATTACTTTATAAGGCTAAATATCGAAGGCTTGGGAAAATCTTGTGACAACTTCATTAGTCCATTGTTTTGGGGAAATTGGTTCATTTGGAAAATGATAATAATAAATCAATCGTAAATGGGTTTAAATTTATAATCAGATTGGTCACTCTTTGAATCGTCTTTATAAATAGGCCCCAATTTAAACAAAAAATTTTGTTTTTTCAACAATACCGAAAAATGGCATCTCCTGATATTACTCTTCATACTTACACAACTCCCAACGGAGTAAAAATTAGCATTGCTCTTGAAGAATTAGGACTTCCTTATAAAGTGAATTTTATTTCTTTTGAAAAAGGAGAACAAAAGAGCCCCGAGTTTTTGAAAATCAATCCAGTAGGAAAAGTTCCTGCTCTCACGGATCATGATTTTAATGTATTTGAAAGTGGCGCTATTTTGATTTATCTTGGTGAAAATTATGATCCTGAAGAGAAATTATTGCCAAAGGATCCCAAGTTAAAAAGTCAAGTTATACAATGGGTATGGTAAAATTTTCTTTTTTGTTCTCATGAAT